GTTCAAGCCCCTTTTGGTTCGGTTCGGTTCTCTTAACAAAATATACCTATATATACAGAATCAGTTCTGTTTGGTTTCCTATACATAGGTATATTTTGTTAAGAGAACCGAACCGAACCAAAAAAGGCTTGAACAAATCTATTGAATACATCTATAATTGGTAAGTAGTCCAATAAACCTTAAAAAGTTATTAATTTTGAGCTTTTTAAAATAGAACTCTCGCGCAAATGTTGTCTGCAGAGTGCATATATATGATCAGAAAAATATCGCCATCTGCTAGAAAAAAAAAAAAATATATAGCATATGCTCTTATATAGTATAGTCTACATATATAATATATATTCTCTGTCGAAGAGAGATAAACTTATACATTAGCCAGCAGCCTGCAGTGTTTTATTTTCTTGTTAAAGTTTATCCTGTAACGTAATTATTTAATTAATATACTTTGATTCTCATGCACCAATTTAGCAGAAAATTTCGATTGATTGTTTGTGTATAGAAAAGGATTAGATTGTTTGCCAAACGTGTGCTTCCATCTTTCATTAACCCAGTGCTTTTTTAGAGATACTTGTAGTAAACGTACTGCTTTAATAATCTCATAAAAGTCAACTCTAACTTATTTTAAGAGAGAAATGTCTGACGACTCCAGTGATGAGAAAGAAAGGCCATTGGTTGCAAAGACCGCGGTTGACTTGCAAAGGCTGAAACTCATAAAACTAATGAAGAACCCGGTAAGTATTTGTTTACTTCTGCGGTGTTTTTAAAAAATATCTAACAAATCGTTGGCTGCAGGATAAGCCAGTCATAATACCAGATCGACCAAAAGTCAAAGGGACGCCATCCGTACCTGAATTCGTAAGGAACGTTATGGGAAGCAGTGCTGGTGCAGGAAGTGGAGAGTTTCATGTTTACAGACATCTGAGGAGAAAAGAGTACTCCAGACAAAAATACATTCAAGAAAAAAGTCACAAGGTCTTATATTACATACTTTAACTTGACTAATTTAAATTTTTGTTTTAATATTTGATATTGGTATAGGAGATTCTCAATGAAGAGTATCACAAAAAACTGGAGGAAAACAAAAAGCTAGCGGAAGAACTCACAGCAAAAAAGCGTGCTAAGAGACTCAAAAAAAAGCAAAAGATGAAGAACAAAAAGTTTAAGCCCAATCGAAACCAAAATATTCAAGAGAAAAGCAGTGATTCTGAAAACGAGAGTTCAGATGAAGAGAAGCACAGTGATTCAAAATTTGATGTGGAGGGAAAAAAGGTTGAACCCAAAGAAGACTCCAAAACTAGTGATGTACATGTGGTAAAAGATGATGAGCCGTGTAGTACTAACAAAGAAGAAAACAGCCATTCTAAAATAAGTTCAAAAGCTAACATAGAGTCAAAACCTGACATAAATATTGTAGCTGAACAAGGTAGTGAAAGCACAGTGGTAGAAAAAAATACATCGAAAATAGTAAATAGGCAGTCGAATCAAGAAAATACTAAGGCAAAGAGCACATCTGAGGTTCCTGATGAAAACAGTAAATCTGAAACACAATCTGATAACATAGACAAAGTAACAAATAGAGGGAAAAATCAAGAAAATACCAAGGAAAAGAGTACAGCTGAGGTTCCTGATGAAAACAGTAGAACTGAAACGCAACCTGAAAATGTGGACAAAGTAACAAATGGAGGAACAACTCAAGAAAATGCCAAGGACAAGAGCACAGCTGAAGTTCCTGATAAAAAAAATAAATCTGAAAAACAACCTAATAATATTTCAAATGAAAATATAGAAAATACTTGCAGCTCTAGTGGTAAAAAAAGCACAGATGATGAGAGTGCTGGATAGATCTTACAATAAAACAGCTGTTATGATATTGGAAACTTTATATTTTATTAAATAAATTTGAAAAATCATTAAAGGTTTGTATTTACAAAAAAACCAATTCATTTGCTAATGTATAATAACTACAATGTATAGCTTTTTTAATCGATTTTACAAAACACTCTATATAAAAACAATTTGGTTAGTCTTGAAAACAGCTTTAATATATTTCTAGCAAAAGTTTATTTTTTTCATTAATAATTTAATATTAGTTTTTTTACAATTCGATTATACTAGTTTTATCACAGCTCATTAAATAAAGAAAATTTTTTGCTAATAAAACATCGAAGCACTCACTACCTACATTGATAAAACATCTTTAAGTCTATCATCATTTTCAAATAGTTTTACTATTTGCTTGACAAATTGTTTCTCGTTAGGACTCATCTCTTTTTTAGAAAAAAGAGAAAATCGTGTTTTAGCTTCAATCAACTCGCCAGCTTTTTCCGGTAATACTTTTTCCTGGAAAGAAAAATACATTTTAATTTGGTTTTAAGCCAACACTTACATTATTAGAATATTAAAAACTGTATTGTACTTGAAATCTTTTAATTATTGGTGACACATTGTCAAAATGATTCTCAATTTCAATCGAAAGCGAATCAAACCATTTGAAATCAGTATACACCGCAATGTGACAAAATGCAAGGCACAACTGAAAATCCAATGAAAATGATATAGGCGAATTAATATAAAAGAGTTGAATAAAAAATAGTGATTTATTATACCTGTTCAACAAGAGCTTCGTAGTGTTGATATTCGTTGATACTGGACAAAGTTTTTGAGTTTTCAAAAGCTTCCATTATGCGTTTCCAAATCATCTTTATTTCCTCGCCAAATGATTTGCAAACTGTAATTACCCAAGCCGCGTTTGTTCGCACTTTGAAATTTGGACATCTGCACATCTGATCAGTTACTACATTAAAAACAATGTCCTAGAAAAAATATTATAAATCATAAAAATATTTTGCAATAGATTAAAATGTTTGTTACATACTCTCCAGGAAGAAGTTAAAGTAGCATCTGGAGTACCACTGATTATTATGCCAAGAGCCCGACAAGCGTTCCACTTTACCTAAAATAATTGGTAATATATCAAGACCTTACCAAACAAGTTTATTGGAATTTTTTTTTTTTTTTTTTTTTAATTGCGTACTTTCATATCATTAGTATTCCGAAGACAATTTATAAGTGCGCTTAATCCAGCTGTACTATTTTGTAAAGTAAACACATTTTCGTTACTTTCAGCTAAATTGTCCTTCTCAGCTGTCTCCTTGACACTAACTTCGAAATTTTTTTTACCTGCTTTCTTACATTTTTTCTTAATATTTTTAATTTGCTCCGACTTAGGAGGTTCAAACACATTTTTCATAGAATCCTGTACAATTTTCGATTCGGAATCATCTCTCTCGCTGTGAATATTTTGATACAAGTATATAATGTTGCCAATTGCCCTGACTGCGTTACACCGAACCTTATCTTTATCTCTTGCTCCGGAGACACTGAGTGTGTAGGGTTTTTCCAAAATACTTATAAAATCAATTGGCTCTGGCTCATCAAGATTATCTTCCGAATCATTGGCACCATCTTCACACCCCTTGATTTCAGGATTCAATTTCATTTTATGCCTGAACCATGACAAAAAGTAAAGAAAAATTGATACCATACGCATGTTACTTGTTTAAAAAGGTGAGCGTGCAATACGTACTTGCGTTTAATCAAAGTCTCGCTAAGATTTGCTACCGCCCAAGCTGCTTTTATTCTGACACCAAGGTTTTCGTCACCAAAACCTTGACAGGCACACCTGTGCACGTCCCACAGGAAGCCAGTATCTTCCTCCAAAGCCGGTAGAGTAACCAATATCCCAAAGGCACGCAAAGCTGCAGCTCTCACGGAGCTTTCGTCGTCGCTCACACACTCGCTCAAGGCCGAGACTATGGTTGCGATCCAGTACTTTTTCAACTTGGAATTCACGTCAAAGTTCATCTGAGAGTAGAGTACTTGAGAAATTTTATTCAATCAAAACCACGAAAAATAATGTTAAATCTAATCACCTGCTGCATGAGCACACTGTTGTCTATGTTGGCCAAGCAATCGCAAGCTGCTTCGCGCAAGTTACTGGCACCCTTGTGTCCGGTCAGTGAAATCACATCGGGAAACACAGTTTTCCAAAATACCAAGGCCTTGTCGCTGTACTCGTCGTCTTTCAACCGCTGAGCCATAACTTCCAATGCTCGAATAGCTTGCAACGTGATGCGCGACGTATCTTCTTCGTGGTTTTTCATAGGCTCTATCAGACATTCGGCTGTATACTCCAAGTGAGGGTAAACAAGACTGAACGCATTGAATGCCATGGCTCTTATCAACATGATGGCTCGCAGCATTACCGGCTCTCTTGTCCTCTGAAACGTGGAAGCCATTGATAAATAGTTCTTTTTGACGTACTCACGGATTATTTTGAGCTTACGTCTTTGGAGAGGGTTTTCAAGCATATTTCAACAATGGCACCGATTTTTGCTTCCTGAACGTTGTCTTGGATGGCGTTTAAGCCGATTTGACTGACATTGTCGCTGATGTCGTCGATAACGATTTCCTCTGTCTCAGTCTCACTTGCAGTGTTGTAAGTCGAATCGGACAGCACATACAGACTGTCGTTTGAAGACTTTGCAAATACATTGTAAACTTCTTGCGTAACTGGCTCGGATAATACCAGAGTTTCAAAAAACTCGAACGCCTTCACTTTCACCGTGTTATCTAAAAAGATTTATGTTAATTTTGACACAATTCATGAATAATAATCATGTCAGCTCACCTTTATTCATTAGCAGAGGATAACACAACTTGGCCAATTCGCTAGCTAGTCCAGGCTTGAGCCTAGAAAAAGGCGTGGCTTCGGCGAGGGCAGAGGCACATTTAAGGGCCTGTATCAGGGGCAATATCCCATTCTCTTTCCTCAACAACTGGCACACAGAGTCGTGTATTTCTTTGATCGAGAGTCCAAGCAGATAGAAAACCGAATCATACGATGATCGCTCGGTATCGTTGGCGTGACTTAGAAACACCTTAGATGCGAGTAATAGCTCGTTCAATACGCTGAGAGCAACCGTTCGATTAGCTTGGGCTGTTTCGCGAACTACGTACTTGGCTAGTGTTCGTAAATTATCCCTCGAACCGCTCGCCACCATTTGCAGCCAATAGCCAGTGAATTCGCGACTGTGGCATTGAACAATGTCATTGAGCAAGTGCGCGGCTTCCAAACGAATTTTACGGTCCAGCGGTGCTCCTACAGATCTAGATTCATTATCCGAGGTTTCCGAGTCACTTGTGCCTTTGACTGTTTTGGGTGTAGGAGACGTAAGAACAGATTTTTGCTCGACTTTTTTTAAAGCAGAGGGCTTCTTTACCTTGTGGTTTCGGAAATATTTCTTTTTCAAGTTTGAATCGATTTGAACTGGTAGATTCAAGTTGCAGGTGATCATTGGCTTTGGACTTGTGACCGGAAAGCCTTGGATTTCATGAAAAACGTAAGCTTGCGCTATGCCTAGCAGTAATCCGAGTTCCTCTGAGTTTTTAAGATTACTCACGTCTATTGTCAACCTTAATAGCCTAAGGCAAACTTTTACCACCTAAAAAAGATTATCAAATATTTCAATTATGATTTCGAAAATCGTTTCAACGTATTAATAAATATTTAAAACAAAATAAATACCTTATTTATATACATTTTGTCCAAATTGTTGATTGGAAGCTTACTCAATGTTTTCAGAACAACCAGTTTCAACTCATGCCTGTCTTTTGGTTCAATGAGGCAATTCTGCTTTTGTAGTACAGAGAATATTGTGTTGAAGAAATTCAATACTTGATATTCTTTTTCATCCCACTTTCTATTTTGTACATCAATTTGTCTCAAAATAATAGAATCTCTTTTAAAAAAGATATCTATATTCTAGAAATGTTAAAAACTGTTGTCAAGAAACAATCTTTGTGCTATTTTATAATCACGATGGATAAATTTAAAAACAAGAATTTTGACTTATGCACAACAATTTACCTTTGGACAACTGTTGTCTCCTTTGACATCTATAATTATTTTTTGTAGTAAGTTAAGTACATCTGAGTTATTAGTTGCATCTGCTTTAGAAAGAGTATCAAAAATCCATAAACTGCACTTCTGTATCAACCTTTTGTCTTGCGTGTTTTGAATCAAACCACCAAGAAACTGCGAGTAAGTGCTCACTAAACTGTGCTTGTGTGATTTTATGTATACAAAGAGCTTATCCAAGATGGCCATTAATTCCTAATAATTAATTATAATACATGAATGTTAGGTGCTAGTAAGATGACTTTATCTATGTACAGAATAGTTATTAATTTCAAAGATTGTGGCTTCTTTGCATAAATAGAAATAATGAAGCTCACATGTAACTTCATTTGAATATCAAGTCTTCGTATGGTAATTTTATACAAATATATTTAAACGTTATTGTTACCTACACTCACATGTAAAAATTTAATTTATATATAGTTGAAAAGATATTTACCTCATTATAATTTACTAAATGAAATTCTTTGTACTGACTGAGGAACTGTTCCAAAAAGTAATCATTGCACTGCCCATCTGTTACGTCTTCTACTGTTGATTTTTTTGGTATAAGCCGAATGATTTCCTCCATTACTGATAATGGAATGATTAGAAACCAAAACTTTTTTGAGAACAATTTATTGTGTCCAAAATGTCAAGAGGTCCTGTTGAGGTTTTGTTGACAACTGGTGATGCACATAACCTATCTTTTTTTCATCGGCCCGTTTTTTTGCATTCACTTTTACACTCTAAGTTTCGAACTGTCGACCAAAACAATTCATTCAATTCTAGATAAATTTCTATTATTGTAAATTTTTGAAAAAACAAATTCTGCAAAATGATGGCAACATGTAATACATCAATACACAACACAGAGTTAATATACGCAGTCAAATTGACATAAGGTGCACAGTGCACAGTGCCCAGTGCACAAGAATAACATTGGTTGGTATATCTATATATGTAAAAACGTAAAGTACAACGCGCTGTGCATTATGTATATAGGTATACCAACCAATGTTATTCTTGTGCACTGTGCACTGTGCACCTTATGTCAATTTGACTGCGTAGGCCTTAGCCCTAATTATGAGTATAAATATATTGTGCTTCTACAGAAATTTGTGAAATTTTTTACTACAACAATATAAGCTTTAACAAAGGAACCATAAATTGGCACGATGGTTTGTTTACAAGTTGATTTTCATTTACAATTAGCTATGAATCTTATATCTATTACACGTATTCTTGTCATTAAAATTTACTTACTAAATAAGTTATACAATATATCATGTGTTTATTATTCAAAAATTTCCTTGAAATTTAAGATTATCATGGAAATCAAATAGTAATCATTATCATGTCTAAAATAAATAATCATGTAATCATACTAATGAATAATTTTAAAAATAGCATTTAAAACTCTCGCGTTGCGGACAAAAAAAAAGCTCTCTCAAGCAGACGATGACGATGTGCTTAGTGCAGACGACAACAAGCATGATGTATATAAATGCCATCTGCTAGAAAAAAAAAAAAATATATAGCATATGCTCTTATATAGTATAGTCTACATATATAATATATATTCTCTGTCGAAGAGAGATAAACTTATACATTAGCCAGCAGCCTGCAGTGTTTTATTTTCTTGTTAAAGTTTNAATCAATGAAATCGTTAATAATTTTAATTTAATAAATTCATCGCAACCCTTTACTTATATATCTTACTCACACAAAAAAAAACGAGCTCTACATAATCCCTGTCCCCAAACTAAAACCCTCCCTTATCATCGGCCGCAAAGCCAGCGACCTACCAATCCATCGGCTCGCATACATATAGTATAAATATTCTTATATCATATATATATATATACTTGATAATATTTACAACCTGCGATGTTGTTTTTATTTTTTTCGTTTTCGGCATTTAGAAATAATCATCATTAATTATGTCGTTAGCGTCCAAGCTAACTCTCGCAGGCTGTACTGTGGTATCTGTGACAATTATTGGATACGTTCATTTAAAGCAACAATTTGATCGGTAAGAAAAATACATTTTTTGTTTTAAGTTATAGGTTATGATGTTTTGTTGTGATGTTTACGTAAATAAAACGAATTGTTCAATAAAATTAATTGTTTCGACGTTATTTGTTATATTCTTAATTGATGGATTTCTAGTGAAATAAAAAGAATTTTCAAAGAAGCAGCTATAAATTACGTTAGATGTTTTAGTTAGATATTAGTGATTTATAACTCTCTTTCAAAGCAAATTCGATAATTACTTGATTTTGTTTATTCGAACTTATTAGTGAACAAATGCACTCTGGAGTTGTCAAAGATTTGGAAAGACAAAGGCAGAAAAGGATTCAAAATTTATACTTACTTACTCAGCAAGAGGAACTTGCTCATCACCTTAAAAAAGACTTGATGCTGGATAAGAATAAATTGGAAAGAGTTGACTTGACTACTTAATACTTCAGCTTGATCTACAACACATGAATGTGTTTGTACAGTTTTGTTATAATCAAATTTAGATTTGAGACATGTAAGATTTGTATAAAATTTTATAAATAATAATACGACTGGTTATAATATGTATATACAAGTAACAATAGAATAAAAAAAAATAATGACAAATGAGAAGGAATGCATTTTTAATGTGATTTTCATCCTTTACTATTTTTATTATTTATCAAACTACTGGATATGTTTCATAACTCGGAAGTTCAAATCTAAAAATATAACTCTTTAAAAAAATAAAGATTTCGAAATATGTTGTAAATGAGGTTGGACTTAATTCATTTTTATTTATTAATTTGAGTAACAAGTGCTATACGTCCACATAAATAACAATACATACAGTTAATGTTGAGAGCACTATATTTATTCAAACACATTTAAATAGTTGAATCATTTTTTTTTT